TCAAGGTTTATACTAGGTTTGCTTGAATTTTCTCTAACTTTTAATTTTTCACTTATGGTGGTGCAAGAGAAATTATGATAAAAGTTTCTTCCTCAATGGCACGACAGCCCCGGGTGGGACCTGGCCTTCTCAATCAACTTCCTCCAGGCCTGCCTCTGCCTAGCAGTAGTGATAAAAGTTTCTACTATGGTATATTTAAACGATATATTTGTAATGAGAAACAGTTCACTTTCTTGAACTGTAAGAGTTTTATAAAAATATAATAATTATATAAGACCCAAAAAGAGATTAAAAAAGCATGGAATTTAGTATGTATTTTAAGTATTTAGACAGATTTTAAACTAGCCAAAGTATACTAAAATTCGTTTAAACAATTCATTGTTAATTATAAATTAATAACTATGCAGTTTCAAAATCATATTTTTAAAAAATATAAAGTAACAAAGTGGTATGTATTTAAAAAAAAACTTACATGAAAATAAATACAAATTATTTGATTTTCAGAGAATTAGCGATTAAAAGTTTTTCCCTTGGTCTAGTGTCTAAAGTTACTCTTAATTAAAAAGCACTATGCTGCATAACATAAAGAATTATTGCATTCATTGTAGAGTTATAGTAAAGCAATATGGAAAAAATTAGTATTCTAGAGCACTGGTGTATTTTTTCCAGCTATGAAGCTCTCAATGATAAACTTTCTTTTGGTGGAATTCTGCCTTTATAAATAGAATTCATTAACATGTGAATATATTAACCAAAAAGACTACAAATGACATATTTTAAATATGTTTTATGTGAAGGAAATTTTTTTCATTCATTATTCTTGAAATTGAGATTTATGTCAGACAGTTAAATTTGCATTCTGGAGTGGCATCTAGTTCAGTTCTGAATTTGTTTCCTGGTATAAACTGAATATGATTGAAATGAGCTAAACTGAAAAATAAGAATTGTAGCAAATGTTCAGAATAGTTATTTAAAAAAAAAAAGACAATTATTTTATTGTTGAATTTGGTTATTTTGTTTTGCAAACTTCTATGGGAAATAATGTAATTCTTCATAAAAATTTTTCGTTTTATAAAAATGCATATTTTTTTATAATTTAGGAGAAAAAATTTTATTTTTAAGTTCTGTTCTTTTTTTTCCATTTGTATTTATTAAATTTTATAAAAATAATCAAAACTTTAAATAATGGAGTTACTAGAAAAAAATGCAAATTTTCAAAACTGTGATCCCCCCCAAGCTCTTGGGCGCATTCACACACCCCCCCCCCNCCCAAAAATAATTGCTAACTTCCCCCTTCCATGTTAGCTTGTTCGAAATAGTGCTACTTTGCTTGCATTCTACTTATAATGACAATGCTTTTTTTATTTATGTACTTAAAAAAAAATTCTCTCGTCTAAATCCCCCCCCCAAAACTATTCGTTTTATTTAGTGTAAAAATTCCCCCCAAGCTTTAAGTGGGCGCATCGTGCGNCACCTCCCCCCCCCCCTGATCCTTCCACAAAACCCTAAGGTTCCAAGAAACACCTTTTGGGAACTGCTGTTCTTAGATGTTAGGTTCAAATCCAAATGTCTACAACAATTCTGTTTTATTTCTTCTTTTTCCCCCCTTCTCACAAGCATCAGTTTTCCAGTTTAATTTGGGAAGATAGAACATGCAGTAAAGGTGTATAATTAATCCTATAATTTTGCTAGTTAAATAATTGAAGGTAATTTTTTATATTTCTGTTTGCAAATGAAATTGAGAATTTGTATTTAGAAATAAAACAATCATTCAACAAAAGTGGGTACAAAAAGGTTAGTTTGTTAAAATTATTTGTGTTAAACTAGTTTTTTTTCTTCAGAAATCTTCCTATTCGCATAAAAACCTTACAGGTGTGTTAGATGCCGTAAAAGATAAAATATTAATACTGACAGGAAAGTCTGTTTTCTTTTATGTTTGTAAAAATAACACACTCAAACAACTGAATTCAGAAAGAAAGAAAAAAGAATGAAAATTATCATTTGTGATTTTAATTAAAAAAACAGCTTTAGCTTTTATTTTATTATAATTTAAGCTGTTATTCTTTATCTATATGAATATAAAACTTTCTAAGGTCTTTATAACTTGAATGAAATATTTCTATAAATTATGCAAATTGGTTTTTCAAAAAACCAGAAATTAAAAACAAAAAGCTTACATTAAAATACAAATTATTTTACAGAAACATGTATATTTTCATTCAGATTGAAAACTGAGGCAAAAATTTACTTCAGGTTGAACTGCTGATTTATGATCTGAGAAATGAATTGTAACTTCAATGATAATAAATTGCTACGAGTTGTCCTTATACAGTAAAAATAAAAAAAAAATCATATTTAAAAATTTTTCTCATATAGAAAATGTCAGGAACGTTTTTAATTTTTTTTTCTAAGTTACTCGAAATTAACTTACTTACTGGAATTAACTTATACTTACGATGCAAATAAATACATTTTAGATAATAAATTAACCAGATAATTTTTTAAAGAAATATATAAACTCAGTATTGCTGCAAGTTGATCCAGTAGCGGAAATCCAAAACAACTGATTATTGTAAGAAGTTAGAATTTTTTTCTTACTACAGTATTAGTTAGTAGAAAGATTTAAAGAGGGAAAAAATTTTAAAATTGTTTAGTTCATGACACAGGGCTCATAGTTTTATTGATATTTCTGATGAAAAATATTTCGTCCTTATTTTTAGTTTTTTTTTCTTCCCCTGATTGTTGCGTCTTTGAGATATCCAATTTTCAAAGAATACAGTTTTTCAAACAATCGATTTGAAGAATCAAGATATTTGGAATTTTGATCCTGCATCTTTTTATTTCAATGAATAACGTGAATTCGATAGTTCAAACTTTGAGACCGCTCCCTAATTACAAACATGGTGTAGGCATTATCATGCTGAAATGTACTTCCTAACATTTAAAAACAAAATTATCTTATTTAATTACTTTTTCAATAAATAAAAATCAATATAATCTGTAATCTTTTTATACAACCTTGAATTGAGTGCAGAAAATAAAATCTATTTTTAAAGATTACCTCTACAGCTGCCTAACACATTAGAATAGAATTAGAAAATTATTAAATGGTTGCTGATGTTTTGATTTCATTAGAATTCTTCATCATTTCTCACGCGATCTTTTCCACCAATACATTTGAATGAGTAAGACTAAGAAAAAGAGCCTAGGCAGTAAATTTAATCACTAACCAATACATGGATTCTTAAACCTTCCTTGGCAAAAACTGTATACTAACGTACACAGGGTGCGCAGCCAAATCTTTCAACAAAAAATAAGCACCTAAAAAATATTCTTAAGCACTATATACTTTCACAAAATGCATAATAATTTTCAAAGACTTTACATGATCATGATAACATAACTAGATTTTGACAAAGAACTCATATATATTAGCCATTAAAAAATGATCAAGAGATTTTTCGGTTCGATTTCTGAGGGTGGAAAATGAAGCTTAAAATTGAGAATATCTTGCAAAAAGCAGTAGGGTTGCACACAAGAGTGCAATAATCTCACCAAACCCAGCTCACTATACGCACTCACAAGTATTTCATCAAACCTGTAAAATAATTGGTGTTTTCATACGCTACGGACGCACGGGAGGCCGAAATTGATTGTGGTTGAATGAATTGTGAAAACGATGAAAGCACGCTTTTGCATAATACATGGCGAAAATAGTCATGGTAAAAAAAAAAATCTCCTTTACGAAAATGGAAAAGTATGCACTTTTGAAAAACACCCAAAGAAAAAAGCAACTTTAAGGGCTTTTTAAAAACAAAAATAAGCACCTTTTAAAAACGCTACACACCATGGTAAGGCTAAGAAAAGGAGCCTCAGCATTAAATTGAATAAAGTAATAGCCAATACATGGATTCCTAAACTTTCCTAACTTACACAAGACACTCGCTTTTTGATTTCTTGGTGGACGTAGTTATCCTGTGGGGTTCAGCCCTGCAGCCGCATTTTATGGGCCATTTTTTAAATTTATAATTTGATAATGTACATTTATATTAAAAATTAAGATTAATCTTTAAATAGGAGCTCCATAATTAAAAAAAATCAGTTTTGTTATTCATATTTGATTCTTCATTTGAACACTTCATGATGTTTATTCTATAATTGCTCGCCCATATCATTCCTCTAGATATCAATAGCCTCTGTGGATGGCGACATGCTTGCCGCTACCTGGCGTGAAATTGACTATCTACTTGATATTCTCCGTGCGACGAAGGGGGCACACGTGGAAGTTCATTGACAAGGGTCATGAAACTTTTTGAGTCTATCTAACCATCTATGTTATTAATTTTATTTTATCTTTATTATTTTATGAGTTATTAAGCATCAAAATGGGTCCGGGACTTTATAAACACCCTGTATATCTTACATCAAAATTATTTGATTAAGGAAGTCTTGAATTTAATTAAAATTTTTTTTTAAATCAAATATTGCTAATAAGAAATATTAATTAATGCATGGTTAGTTTTATAATGAGACAATACAATAAAAATTTTCAATATATTGATCTTAAACTATTACGAGTTGTTTAGTGTCCTATTAATGAAGCTAAATGTTAAAACAGCCTGTTCTAAACTAAGTAATACTGAAATTAAAAATAGTTTATTATTCTTATATGAAAAAAATTTGCCTATATTATACTCAAATAGAGCAAATTATACTTTTTTTTCATTATTTACTTTGATTTTTTCAAAAAAATAAATAAGTTGATCAGCATTTAGATTACTAATCCCACATTAATTGCTTTGTAACTTTCAATCACACTATACACTTCTGATGTAATTTGATTTAAATTCTGTTTATTTATTTATTTGATAATAACTGCTAGGTAGAAAATTCAATGATCTCAGAAAATTCTTTTATTATAGAAGGAGAAAAGTGAAGAAAACAGACGTATAAATTTAAAAACTGTGTTTTATAACAAATACAATTAAGTGTAAAAAGAAAAATTTCTTAGAAAACTTTATTCGACATTCTCCTTAGAAATAAAAAATACATTTCTTTGAAATAATTCAATTCAGTCCAGCTGAAGCATTAGTAATAGCCTTTGCATAGAAGTAAAAATGTGTTTAAGACTATAGCCCTATTTAGATTTTACACTCAACAATATTAGCGTTTTAGTGAGAGAATTAATAGATAAGAATAAAAATTTCAATAAGTATTATAGCTCTTAAGTTATAAATTATCACATAATTGAATAGCATTTCCTAACAAATTAAATAATCAGCTCCATATTTGGTATTTTTCTTTTCCTAAAAAGTCCCAATTAGGTGAAGGCGTGCCAATAACAAGCCAATTAAAGTCATCGATGGAGTCCCAGTTGTTAATATCTTTGTCAAAACCAGCATTGATGAAATCTTCCTCTTGCCCATCATAAGACCAGTTATAGGGAGCAAAGTATAAGCTTTTGCTATCTTCTATTATAGTTCTACTGGTGATATGCAAATAAAAGTCACAGTCGGTACACGAATGAATCCTCATTTGCTGGCAAGCCAAAACAAAAGTACAACGGCTACAGTTCTCGATAAAGACAGAGGTGGAAACAGGACCGGCAAAGATGTGGCAGTCTGTAAGACCACTTATGAAAATAGTACTAGGTGCACCATAAAGATAAACTCTGCAATTTTGCAGATGATGAAGGCCCACATCTTGCTTTTCAATTTCTTCTCTGTATTTGACTAAGTTTTCGCCAGAAATATCTTTAAAGCCACACTTGCAAAGCTTCAAATCGAGGATGGAATCACTAGCATTGTTGGAGGTTGACCTTTCCACCAGAGGAGGAGACTTCACTCCATTCTGAATCTTTTTCTTATTCTTGAAAGCAAACTTCTTTTTTGGTATCAGATCATTCTGAGCAGATTGAAGGTCATCCTGCAGAATTTTCAAAGCTTCCTGCCCCTTCTTGATGTCGTACGTCGGCAAAAACAGAGTGGAATCTGACAAGAACTTTTGTAGTTCTTGAATACTTTTCACTACCTTATCAAAATAAGAAATCAAATTGCTTTTATCAACATTGGTAGCATTCATCAGCATTGTCTCAATCAACTGCTTTTGATAGTTAAACGTGACGTTGAAATAATCGGTCTGTTCGTAAACAGAGGTTCGATTGTCTTTTTCACATTTTTTCCTTTCCATTTCTGCAACCCTAGCCTCGGATCTTTGAACCAATTTGTCGACCACTTCTTTCTTCTCTGCAGCGCAATCCTGCACTATAACCTCAAAACTTTTTTGATCCTTCATTGCTGCTGGAATATTATTGAACATCTTATGAAACAAATTTTCTTAGAATTTGTACATTTTCACAGCATTTGAAAACCTATTGAAGAAAAAAATAATCTATTATAGAAACCATAGCAAACTATTGCAAGAACATGAATACCGTAGCAATAAAATAACTTCATGAATCTTGGCTCAATAAGGGTTCAAAGGGTCGTTAATTTTCCAAAATTGGTCCTATTTAGAATCGTCCGTTTCACCTGATACTTTACAACCAATATAGAATTGTCAGATTCACCCAAAATCCCTGTGGCAGAACTGCGATGACATTGTTTCAGAATGTTAGAGTTTTTGCAGAAAGGTTCTTCATTTGGGAAGGGGAAAATTTTGGTTTTCCTTTCTGCATAATTTTTTGAAAAATGTTTTTTTCTTCTTCAGCAGAAATTTTTTTCCAAATCTATCTTTCTTGGGCATTAGAGAGGAAGGAAAGAAATAATCGTGATTTTATTATTCTCATTTGAGATTTTAAAAAATGACTGGCTTTCTCAAGAATTTCAAATTAATAATATAAAATAAAAAATTCAGAAATCGCCAAAGTTTAGTATCTCTTTTTTTAAGAGTTCTATTCACGTGATTTCGTTGTTGATCTTTATTTTGGGAGTTACTGCAAGGATTTTATTTTTATTTTATTTATTATCGTTTAATTTACTTCAGAATTTTAATTTGGGTAATGATTTAAAAAATTTAATAGAGAAAATAATTAGTGAATTTTTTTACCTACAAAATGTGAGAATATCGCCTATAGTGTATTAGAATTAAAAAAAAAAAATTACTTTTACAATATAAAAAAATATTAGTTTGTCTACATTTTTCATTCTAAGCTTTTTTCTGTAAACACAATGTTTCTGTTACTTTAAATTAGTAATTGTTATAATTAAAAGTATCTTAAAACAAAATATATTAGTACGAGAGAAGTTTGGCGCAGAAAGCCTGAAAAAAATTCTGCCACAGGGCCCAATATTTTATATATTTTTTCAGCCAATATAGACTCAATATTAAAAAATCTAGAAATCCCAATATTGGTCCCTCGGTGCATGTTCATATAGGATCCATATTGAGCCAAACTGGAGTCAATATAAAATTGTTGCTACGGTAATCTTATTGAAATCAAAATTATCCACAGGGAAAGATTTAAAAAAGTATTTAAAACTATGAACCAGAATTAAAAACAGATCTACAGCATTTAACATGCAATTATAAAGACATAAATTATTTCACTATGAGAAAAATTTAAATATAGCAACAATATTTATCAAACCATTGAAGTAATATAAAGATAATAGCAATGATGTTTAAAAAAAAAAAAGTTTAATTGGATTTTGTTTTAAGACATCAAAATGTAAAAACTAAACATGCGATTGCAGGAAGAAGAAATTATCTGAAATTTTTTTCCCAACATGCAGTTTTTTTCTTCTTCTTGTAGTACATAAAAAATAAATAAAAGTAAATTATTTATTGTTTTTCTTAATATTACTTTCTACTATTATTATGAATAAATTTCTATTATTCCAAATTAAACTCTTAAAAATAAAAATAGATTTCATATATTATATAGCATAATCCAGCAAGATTACTTTATAACATAACATGTTATGAAAAACATATTGAAAATGGTATTTAATTTAATCATTTTCTAATTATTATATAGTAAATAAGTTATATTTGCTTATATGAGAAAAACAATTTCCAGTCAAAATTTGTAATAAAATAATTAATACAAAACAATTAGGAATAAAAACTTATTAAGAATAAACATTACACAATATTACTAAACATAACTTCGAGCAGAATATATAAAAAAATTAATTAGCAAAGAGATTTTCTAATAAGTTATCACGAAAGAAATAATAGAAAAATGGAAGATTTTATAAACAGTAAAAGCTCCAAGTTACAGAGCCTAATCCAAAGAAGTCTATTTTACTCAACCTAATTAAAAAATTCTATCTAGTTAATTTTCAAGGCTTATCAGAAGCAAAAAGTTAGAAAATAAAATTAAACAGTCAAGTTCAAAATACATTTATTCAAATATTAATAGAAAATGACAAAAGGATTTAATTGTCGAATTGTCTGTTTTCACTTAAAATTGGTTTAGGTTTAACCCCAAAAAAGGAACTAAAAAAAAAAAAGTGAATATCTAAAAAAATTAAGAAGAAATTAAAAAAATTAAAAATTAAAGATCTGTTTTAACTAGAGGATTTGCACTTAGATTGTTATCTAACATTATTGATAGGGACATAAGTATTGATAAAATGCTGAGTGATGAAAACTAAAAATAACAGCAATTGATAAAACTTTACATCATGATATAAACAGGTGTTTAGAGATAATGAAAAAAATTTTGATACAGTATGTACTAAACTACTTATTAGAGAAAAAGAGCTTCATAACATGTTTAGAAGAAAAATCATTGTCAAACTTAAGGTTTTAAAATACAGACAAATAGAAACTTTTTAGATTAAAATACATGATAAAAAAGTAACGAAAAAAAGGAAAAAGCAAGCGGTAACATACTTTTTAAAAATATTTAAAATATAAATACACCAGAAAATATTCATTACATTAGTAGAAAAGTAATTAACTGTTTTCTATTGAATTGAGAGGTAAATTTTGAAAGTCGTTTTTACCATGACAATAAAGAATAAGTATTTATTTAAAAAATTACCAAATTTGAACATGTCAAAAATCATCAGGGTGCAATATTTTGATAGGCGTGGTCATCGCCCCAAATGATAGAAAGAAATTTCCAACGAATTTAAAATGAAAGAATTCTCAAACAAAGTAGTAGCAAATGTTACAATAGACTATAAAAACCATAAAGTAATCAAGAAAAATCATTACTTTTAATTCAAAGAAAAACCATGTAGCACCAAAGTAAACAACAGACCACCATTAGTGACTCATTTCAGTTTGAATCATCCATAATAGACCGCTTTTTTAAGTAAAAATTTTTTCTTTATTATTGAGGAGACAGAAATTGAATAAAACTGATAAACAAACAATCAGGACTAGGAATTAGTCATAAATTTTCTGTATAAATAATTTCTTTCAAATTTCATTAAATTTAACAGCTGGATATTTAAATTAACTGTAACCTAAGTGCTATAAATTACAGTTCGTATAATAGTAAGTTTAAACGCACATCAGTTTTGCGGTTCGTATAAAATAATGAAATATTACATAGAAATAAAACTTCAGTAGGGTGAAATGCACGTTAGTTGAATAAAAGATTGAAAAAGTTGCAAATATCGCCACTTTTAAAATTCTACTTTCAAATTGACAACAAACAAATCGTGTACTTGGTGTATGCTTGTGTATCATTTGAATTTGAAAATGTTTTCTTGAATTAAATCTATTTTTTACCTTACTATAAATAAATATTTCGAGTGGGAGGCACAAAAGCATTTAAAATATTATAAAAAATGAGTGAAGATCGTAAGAAACCTCAGTTTGGTACTAGGTATTTGCATGATCCGGATCAAGTTTTTCAACATAATGCATGGTAATAGTGCATTGCTTTGTTATTTATATTTGATTATTCAAAAAATAAATCATATTCTTTAAGTTTATGAATGAGTCGTGTTTTACTGTCTCAATTAAGCTGTTTTTCCTCGTAATATAACTTAAAGCTCTTAAAATTTTTGTGCAGTTCTTAAGATATACTTCTTTTAAAACAGCATTGATTCCGGAGTTATTCTTCAAATCTATTAAACTATAAAATTTTCAAAACTGAATAAATAATTTTTATTTTTTCAGAAATTGATTAAAAAGTACAATCATTAAAAACATTTTCAAGTAAAATAAATTATTAACTAGGAAAAGAAATAAAAACTATCAGCAGAAAAGCATTCTTACAGATTAAATAACACTTGATGCAGTTTCTATATTATATATATAATGTATATAATAGTTTTATTTATTCATTTTTCTTTAACTGTTGCTCTAGTTCAGCAATTCTCAAATATTCTTTGGAACCCTAGGGTTCTTTGGAAGGGTTCAAGAAGCTCTGAGATATATAATTTTTTTTTAAAACTAGTAGTACTTTTTCTAACCTTATTTATACTTAGATCCAATCAATAAATCGTTATTTAAAATTTTGATTATCTTTATGAAACTATTTAAAAGAAAATACCAATAAAAAAATAGCAATTTAAAAAAAAAAAATTAAAATATTTCTAATATAAATATCTTAAATAATTTATGATAAGTACATGAATTAATAGAAAATTACATTTGTATAACCCAATTAAAATAAAATAGCTAAGTTCGTTAATAAAGAAATATGTTTCTTTGGTAAAATCTTTCATCATTTATTGCAGTTCTTTTTAACTTTTATTTCAGCAAGAACCGTACTTGTCTTATTTGTTTCCTTTTCAGCTTATGTAACAAAGAAAAGTTCTGAACTAAACTCCAAGAAGACAAATTTAACAGTCTGATGTAAAACCTAACTTAAGATTATTAATAATAAAATTTCATACTTCTTATTTGTAAAATAAAGTAGTTTTAATAAACTTTGTTTATAATGCCAGGATTTGAAAGAAGGTTGGTTATTTAGGGTTCCATAGCCGATAAAAGTGAGGAACTGCTGCTCTAGTGGCAGCATATTATGAATTTCACTAGTAACTACAGACCACTGCCAATTTGTTACCGTAAGATCTTTAAGCGTATTTATTCCTGTTTTGATGTATATAGCAAAGATGCCAACTGCACTAGATTTGGCGAAATATTTTAAAACACGGTAGAGAAACGCAAATTATTTGCTGATTTTCGGTTAATTTTGCCAACTTAAGGCTCACCAAGGCTTAAGTGTAAAAAGGGGGCGTATCACATAAGCTTTCAAATTATTTAGAAGTAATGGCGAGTAAAAACCCTATGAATGAAATTTTTAAACTAAGAATCATACATTAGATTAAGACTACCACTCAAAAATATTTATCCACTGTTCGGAGCAAGTTGGCATCTCTGATATAGTTTTATAGTATTTAAAAATATTGTAAATTAGTAAATAATTAATGTATTGCATTAATAATTAGGGATGATGTTGAATGGGATGAAGATCTGAAACGAATGGCTGATGAAAAGATTAGAGCTAATTCTCAAATATTGGTATCAAGTAATGAACAAGGTAATATAAGTTTTCATTTACCTTATTGTAGTTATTAATATTTACATATAATTATCTATATATTTAGAACTTTTTTAAGTGCCTTTAATTATATTCTCTACTTTGTTTTGGGAAAAGCAGGTTGTGTTCCAATTAGTAAGTGTATGTCTTTCATTTATTTATGCGACACACTTTTATTACAAATAGACTCATAATTCAAATGAATAATTTTGACATGATGGTTGACTGTTCTGGTCGGATCCCATACGATGTCTGGTGTTGCTTACTTCATATCTCCAACTTCGTCAAACATACTCACTGCCATCTATCAGCATAAAATGCTATTACTTACTTTTATTATACACAATACCTTTGTTCTGAATAATAGTTCTGAATAATAGTTGAATTGAATAATAGCTTACTTCATATCTCCAACTTCGTCCAACATAACTCACTGCCATCTATCAGCATAAAATGCTATTACTTACTTATATTATGCATAATACCTTTGTTCTGAATAATAGTTTGAGGTTTAAAATTGCATTTATTTATTTTTGAAAATGAATTCAATTTTTGAATTTTATGTTGTATCAATGTTTTTTCTTTCCAATTCACATTGATATATTTAATTTTGAATATATTTAAAATGTGTAATATTAAATTTTAGGTTTTTTGGATTTTTTTTTTTAAACCTACAGAGCAATTTCACTGTCACATGCTGTGTACTGAGCAATCAGATATTATAATTTATCTAAAGTTTGCTATGCAGTTTATATTTGTTTTATAAAAATTAATTTACCTGCTTTTTTGTATTTGCAAAATTAAAGTTAACAGAGTTAAGTATTACTTCTGAAGTATAAAGAAATTTTAGGTATTAAATGGATACAGCAGTACTTATCCATTAAATGGGCCATAAAACTCTTACTTCCATAGTATTTAACTATATTACGTACTTAAGTTATGTACCCATATTAAAAAATTAGGTTTCAACTACCAGTGCACCTATTTACATAGTATCTGTAGTAAATATTAATATAATTACTTAAGCATTACTGGCATCAATAATAACATATTTTTTATTGCCCTCTATAACCAGTTGTTTTACTTATACATCTTTATAAGTTGTCCTTTATTTTTATCATTTGGTCTGCAGGCTGCTGATAAAAAAAATTTAGACTTCTAAATTTTTAAAAANTTTTTTTTTTTTTTTTATTTTTTTTTTTTTTTTTTTTTTTTTTTTTTTGCTATTTGTCATTTTACTAATTTTTTTAAACGCTGAACAAAATGGATGTTCAAAAAAAATTTTATAAAATAGAAAAAAAGTAAACAAACTAAAAAAAATAAAAATATTTGAATTACTTTTGCCCGACTAACCGAAAACTACCTAACTATTCTTTCTTCTGATTATTAATTCATTAATTAATTTTAGAACATACTTTTTAAAAATATTTAAAATATAAATACACCAGATATTAGTTTTATTCTATCGNGTGGGGGCAGGTGCAATCTAAAACAAGATTTTTGTAAAGATAGTGTGAATGGTAGCATGAGTTTGTGTAGTGCTTAAAAGAAATCTTGAAATAACGTGGGGGATATTTTAGAAATTTTGCTGAAAATATATATTTATTTCAAAATAAATATCGGATACAGTAGAGCGCCGATTATCCGAACTGCTCGGAATCGAACGTTGTTCGGTTAATGAAAAGTTCGGATAATTGGAAAGTTGCTTTAAATCAAGTTTAATGATTATTATTTATGCCCTAACTTCTCTTCACACTTTTTCCAGGTTTAGGACAGGCAGTACTATCTAAAATAGCTTAGTTTAAAAGTTTTTTTTCTTAATTTTTAATTTATTTTTTTTACTTTTTTTTACATTTTACTTTTCTATTTTACATTTTCATTTACTTTTTTTTCCATTCCAGCTAACTTTTTTTTTGTTAATTACTGATTTTGACACATTTTACTTTGTTTTCCATTGCCAAAGAAATTCAGCCAAGACTTTTGTTTCAAAAAAGATGCTCTTTTTTTGAGCAGTCATAAATCTTTTTAAATAAATCAACTGAACTGGATCAATATCATTTTGACGTTCTAACCAATTTATTGCAATATCTAATGAATTGCATGCTTCTATATGAGAAGGTCCACTATCTTGAACTTGATCACCTACTTCTTCCTTTTCATCTGAGGAGTTCCAATTTTCTTTCAAAATTTCAGCAACAATTTCATCATCAAACTTTAAATCCTGGGACATTTTCAGTGTTTCGACACCAGTATTCTATTTTTCTATTTTTTCTGCTGCATAACCTGGCATCTTTTCAGCCAGAAGATCTACTGGTTTAGAAATTTAGAAAAATTGTTGATAAGTTGAAAAGTATTCTAAACTTCAAAAAAAAGAATTCAGACATAGTTCGGATAATTTGACGTTCGGATAATAAGGGTTCGGATAAATGGCGCTCTACTGTAATTCTTAATAGTTAATATTAAATGTTTAGCTGTTGGCATCAATATAATTTAAATTAGATAACAGGATAAATGCAGCTAGGTGTTCATTTCTCCCTGTCTTTCTTCTTATTCCGTTGAGGAGCTGTAGTATTCTGTTCCACACCTGGCAGATATGATCACAGAAAGATAAAGCCTTGGAATATTTTATAACCTTTGTTGAACAGCCGACCCAATTTTTTGGGTTTGCAACTGCTAGAATTCTACTTTGTAGCCTTGTAGTTTTGAACCCAACCCAGAAGACAAAGGAACTCCTGGATCAAGTACTGGAAGAAATGTGCCTTCGCGGAGCACTTTTTGATAGAACTAACCCGCATTTTGCGGTACATGTAGAGAAAACTATAAAGACCCCTCACATTTAGCCTTTAGCCCATGATCCCTCTACCAACCACTGAGGATATTTAATGTCAGCCCTGTGGTCAGTGCAAGCTGGGTGCGGAATTCATATCAACCAGCCATCGCTGAGATTTGAACCCAGTTCACCTCATTGGAAATTCAACATTCTGTCCTCTGAGCCACCATGACTAACTTTGTAAAACTAGTGATGCTGAGATAGTCTGAATTGTGCTGAACCAAATAAACAGCCAGAATTTGATTAAGGTAACCCCTCTACCATCGGCTGCTGCACAGGCTCCCAATGCTCAGGCAGAACAGGGAAAAACTAGAATTCTCAGGGAATTTTATTTTAACTCTAAAAAGTAGGGAAAGTTGCAATTTTTTCCAAAAAACCTGGAAAATAACCAGTCTTAGAATTGTCAGTAACAGTAAACAGTTATTGAGATTTGAGTTAAATAATTCCAACATGTTTTTCAATTATTCCATAAAAGTTCACATTTTAGTGAAACTGTTCCATGTTTCCATTCTCATTCAATTATATAGTTTTGCTTACAAAATCTAATAGTTGACAATAAAAATAAAATAATTTTTTTTTTAACTTTCTGATGAAAAATGGCATGGTATCCATAAAACATGGTATGGATTTACCTGATATACCTCGAAAAGTCAGAGGTTCTGAAATTGAGGGAAAACCCTCTGCATTTTCTTGAAGAATCCTATGCCTGTTTTAATAGTGGTTATAGTGAAAACATCATGTATACAAATGTATCACTAGGGGGGGGGGTGGACCACTAAGTTGTGTAAAAGAACTATTAGTGCTATTAAACTCATTGTAGATGTGTGCTATGAGCTCTTAATGTCATTGTATGGCCATGGATGACTTCCACTAATATTTATGTTAAGTGCTGATTCTCTGTTTCTCTACTATTTTTGATATGTGATCCTGTAATAAAATCTTGTTTTCTGCAAATTTCTGTTTTAATTGCATGTGTGTTACATCAGAAATCTTTTAAAGTTGTATACTTGTTCTTTATGGCTTGAACTTTTTTTTCTCTCCCTTTAGGTAGGATGTGGTGTTGGAAATACAGTTTTCCCAATACTTGAAACTAATAAGTATATTAAATTTTATTTCTCATTTTATTATTTACTTGACTCTTGTGTCCAGTTTATTTGCATGATCTCTTTGATTTTTATTTAAATTACTCTAAATATAAGCCAGTTAGAAAAAAGGGCATGAAAATGCAATCTAAAAACTTCGAATTCAATGTCAAAGTACCAGACGTTTCAGGATCTCCAATGCCTTCAACCTCAGTTGCACCCTAAACCAGAATTAAACATTTGCAAGAACGCATGTCAGATAGGGTATTCTAGATAGACCTGGTGCTGCCATCGCGGTAGTATTTCCATATGGTTTACCACAGAGAGAAAAAAAAATAGAGAAGATAATATAAAGGGGAAAAAAAATTCAAGATGAAATTATGAAATACAAAGGTTCTCCTATCATTGCAGACAGATGTAAAATACAACAAAAACTGAATCTGTAGAATTAAGTAATAGAATAGGAAATCAAACTTCAAGATATTTACTTTGATGGAGGTAAAACAAAACTTTGGTAAATAAAAGAGGCAAACGATGCTTGTTATCATCATAAACCTAAAATAGAACAATATGTACAGTGCTTCAGAAAAAAATTGGACCACCCTAAATTACTTTTGATCTAATGATCAGATCTTCATGTTCTAGGACATATTATTGGTTTAAGGGGATGACCTCAAATATGCTAATTAATAAATGCAAATGATATTTTAAGTTACGATACTAGACATAAAAAAGTACTTTCTCTGAATAAACGTAACTTTTTTTCTACAAATAAGGATTTATGACCCCAAAATATTAGGCCTAATCTGGGAAATATGGTCCTAATAGTTTGGTTAAAAAAATAATCCAAAGTTTGGGCCCTTGATTTTAATTTTACTTTTTGCATATTTCACCTTATCTCAAATACTTTTTAAGCAAATTAAAAAAAAATTTCACACAATTATAAAAGTCGTTTTTTGAAGGATAATTCCATGCAAAAATTAAATGTTAGTAAATATTTATTATTTTTTATTATATTATTTAATAATAGTTGAAAAAATTTTAAATTGTAAGGTATAAATTTTTTTACATAAATTTAAAGTATGTAGTTTTACTTCGCAAAAAACAAATTTCGAGTGAAATCAGTTGAACAGTTCCTGAGAAATCGAATTTCAGAAAAGTCGTGTATTTAAATTCTGTCTAAAAGAATTGTGTGTTAATTTCATAACTTAAAATATGGTCTGCACTTATTAATTAACCGCATATTTGAGATCACCCCCTTGAACCTTAAAGAATGAGTCCTAGAAGTGAAGATTCAACCAAAAGTTATTGAAGATGGTCCTTTTTTTAGGTACACTGTACATGTACTATAATTTCTACTGATTGCTTTCTAGGATATATTTCCTTTTATTTTCTCAGTATATTGGATTTAAATTATTTTTTGATAATTAGAGTTAAGAAGTTTAAAATTATTTTTATATTTTTACAGAGATTCTAATGTATGTGTATACTGCTGTGATTTCTCTGAAGTTGCTGTTAATTTAGTTAAGGTAAATATACTATAAAATTTTTTTTTTACTAATGTTGTATGAGCTAGAGCTTATGTCATGTAATATAAAAATCATATATAATAATCATATTATTCATGGGTGCCAAGTACTGGATTTTCCAGTGAGGAATTTTGTCAATTTCCTCTTGCTTCCTGGTTTAAATAAATAAAAATAAAAAATATTAGTTTTTGTATGCTTCAGAAAATTTCCTAAAATTGAAAGTTTCTGAATGAGATAGATTTTTTACTCAGTTAATTGTTTACTTGAGTATTTAAGTAAGTATCATTGCTAAATAAGTAAGTTTTTTACAGTGTTTTAAAATGTTTGTTTTTTAAAACTCTTTAATTTTAAGACAATTGAATAACATTTGAAAACATTTATAACATTTAAAAAAAAATTCAAAATTTATTATTATTGAAGTTTATTAATTCGAAAATACGTGTAAAATAATAAAAAGCATTCCACCTTTAAGTTTATTTAATGTTAAACATAAATAGAGAATATTCCAGTTGTATCAAATTCTCAATTATTATTGGAATGTTGTTTTTGTATTTAACTATAAAACCCCTAAAATGCATGTGTTTTACTATTATGTAGGTGTTACATAATAGTTTGCATGACTTCCTTTGTATAATCAACTGGATTAACATTTAATCCAGTTGATTTTGTAAAATCAACTAGATTAAATATTTAGCCTTTACATGTTGACAGCTAATCACATTTGTGATTTAAAAATAATTAATATAAATTACAAGTTGTACTAAGTATTACAAGTAAAATTAATACTAAATGTAATATATTTTTGATTAAGAAAATCTTTATATAATTCTTATATATGTTTGATTTGCACATTAGTATAATGTTCAAGTGTGACATTAAAAGAATATCAAATTTACGTATAAATACCATTACATAATAAGAAAAAAATTGACTGAGACTAATTTTGAGTGAGACGAATTTATGGGAATACACTTAAAACAAATTTGAAGGTTATTTATTCAAACTAAATGTTAATAATTAAATTTAGTCAGAGACAAAAAAATAAATAAAATGGAAATAGAGCAAGATACAGCATATAAATTTTGTGCTTGATTTCTTCCTTTTCCTGTTGTAATTAGATCATGCTTAGTAGAATAATCTCTAACACATCAAAAAGTTATAAATACTCTTTTTTTTTTCCCCTCTGCCCAAGTCTACCATTTTTTGTACTATAAATATTTCAAAATGTTTCTTGCTGCGAGAATAATTTTAAAAAAAATTATAACCTTTGAAGTTGAATTATCATTTTTATCAATCTTCTAGAATTGTTCTTCGCCAGCAGATCATATGTTGGTAAAGTTAGTTTATAATCACCCTGTATTTAACAAAGCATTCTCATTACATGTTAAATATTTGAGTTTTAATTAAACCAATTACATATTCTAATGCTTTTCTTTTAACAGATTCAAATCTGAAAATATAGGAAATATATATATATATAATGTGAAACCCATTATTTATTTAGAATTAAGAGTTTTAATTTACATGTTCTGTAACATTTAATTTAATTTATGTATTAATGTTTTTTTCCCCTTCATCTTTCTCAGAACAATCCTTTATTTGATGCACAAAAATGTCATCCCTTTGTCTGTGATATATCCTCCGACCAGTTTGATGTCCCCTTTGAAGAAAATAGTTTAGATTACATCATTTTAGTATTTGTTTTATCAGCTATTCATCCTGAAAAGTAAGTATTTTGCTAATGTTTATTATGATGTAAAAAGAAATAACGTAAATCTTTATATTTTTTTAAAATGTTAACCATTATTTAAATAAACTGAGATTTCTATGTTACTAAATGTTATCTTTTTTTATCACACAATTGCAAGCATATGTGCAGAATTAAGTAAATATAGTAGGTAGGCTCTGTTAATATAAAGTATTTTAAAATATTGCTACAAAAATTTGATTACTGACATTTGAAATTACTACAGTTGATTAGGGTAGAAGCAGAGTATTATGTATTAACTGTCCTTAATGTGTAATTTTAGAATCCTAGTCTAAAATAAAGTTTAAAAAGTACTCATATTAAGGGTCGATTAACATTTATGCACAAAGAAACAAAAATGATATCTAAAAAGTCACTATTGAGAAAGTTAGGGTGAAAAACATCAAAACCAGTTTGTTTGACTGACAGAACCTGGAGATTCTTCTTATAACTGCCTTTTAACTCTCCTCTTTTTCTACCAGTTTTTGATGTTTTTAATGATTTATTGGATCTGGGTAGTATTTTTGATTTTAGATCTCTTAAATATTAATTTGTGACCTTGAATTTGTATACTTTATCTACTTAATGTTTAGTTATTTCTTAATTTTCAATAAGGATTCTAAAAATATACATAAATAGTGGTCATTACAGAATACCTTGTTCTATGAACACTTTAAGTCAGTGGTCCCCAAAGAACTTTCTAGATTGCTAGCTAGAACTAGTTTGAGAGCTAGAACTTTTTTTAAACTTGTTTTGATCCTCCAAACCTGTCTATATTTCTAATAATACAGTAATATTCAATGTATATTGTATGAATAAATAAAAGGATAATTACTTTAAAAATTGTACTAGTATCTCTGATCAAGCCTTTCAATTTTAAATTAAAATAATCACATTCAACAATAAAGAAGTCTGTTTCTCTAATAAACATTCACAACATTTATTTCCGACCTTTTTCATTTCAACAAATTCCACTCCAGACTTGAGAATTCTACTGTACGACAAAAAAAACTAATTTTGTTGCTTTTATTGATAAAATGATACAATGAAAAAAATTTCATTTTTCACATTATATATTTTTAAAATAAATCGAAGTTTTTCTTTGATTAATATACTCACAATTTCTGATGATTTTTATTCACAAAGTCTAGAGCTTCCATTGATAGTTGGTCAATCGCTTAGTGTTCCATGGCCAAAAAAATTGGAAACTACACTCTTTTAAATTGTTTTTAAGTTAGAGACTTCACTTGAGCTAATCTTAATATTGACAAGGTGCATAGCGTTTTTAGAAAGTGCTTATCTTAGATTTAAATCTTTTAAGAGCCCTTAAAGTTGCTTTTTTTTTATTGGGGGGTTGAAAAAAGTGCTTAATTTTTTATCTTTTAAAAAGACCTTTTTTTTTTACCTTATCGATTATCATTTTTAATTATAAAAAATGCCTGATTTTCTCTGCAGTATTTATCAGAAACTAGTTATTTTATCATGATTATGGAAAGTTTTTGGATTTTATTGATTTTATGTTTATAAATTAAGAACTTTAAACGATATTAAAAATAATTTTTATTACTTCACAGACCCTAATTGTGATTTTTTTTGGAAAGTGATTTATTTGACTATATTTAAGAAATATTTAGAGGGTGCTTATTTTTTGTTGAAAAATCTGGCTAAACCTCCTGATTGAAACAAACTTAGTTATAACATGAATTATACATGATATATAATAATATAATATAGTTATTACGTGAATAAGTTCCATAATAACACTTTTTTCAGTTATAACAAAAAATGCTATTCTAGAGCATAATGATTTATCCAATATAATTATCAGGGTTTATAAACCCTTGTCACCATGATGCATACTTGCTAATATATATATTTATATTTTTGCTATATATATATTTTTGGTCTGCTGCTCCCAAGAAATTTTTAATTATTGTAGATACTTAATAATGTACATGTCAGTGTGATAAACCAAAATTGGCGACTGTCGACTTTCACGGATAAATGTCCACTGTAACATAATCACTTTATCAAATGTCCGAAATAGATGCTGGATTTGATTTGATGTTAATTATCTGATTTGAAATTAATTATCTGTACTATTATCTGGTTAAGATTAAGAAAATTATCATTGTTGAGAATAGCAGGACAGTATGGATATTTTAACTGCCATTTTTTATTGTAATGTTTTTTTAATTTAAAAATCTCTGCCTGTTGTACCCTATACTGATTTTTTTTGTCCGGTATTTCCAATACAGATATCAAAATATAGAGTAAATAAAATATCAATGCATAAATTATTACAGGGCTGCCATCACTTTCTATGCTTTTTGTAAATATTTATCCCAGTGGTAGCTATGTTTATGTTTTATTTTATTATTTTTTAGTCATTTAAGCTTATTTTTCACGCTACTATAAATGATTTAAAAGTTGATGCAATGCCACTTTATTTCAACTTTTTAGTGGTAAAACATTGAAAAGATTGGTAAAATTACCAAAAATTCTGAAGGCTTTGGTTTTTAAATGTCTACCATTCTAGTAAATATTTAGCAAAAACTGTAGTATTTGGTTGACCTAGTTATTATTTAATCGGACATAACAAATTTTACGGACGTTCACCAATGATGTTGATTGTATATTGACATTCACTAGTAAAAGTTAAAGTTCCCCAGATTTTGGTCTTCTATGGTAACAAACATTTGAGGCATGTGTGAATATTATTTTAATTATTTTTTTACTTAATATTTAAACATAAAATCCTAGTTTTTTTCAAAAATTAATTGATTACCATCCTGAATTAACTTGTGAGTTTTAATCGTTTAAGTAAACTTTTTGTCATGCTGTTCAAAATTCATTTGGATTTGTATAAACATAGTAATTATTAAATACTTCATGAAGTAATGAATAATTTAATTTTCTTCTATTTTAAACACATAAATTTTTATGCTTAAATCTGAAAATAAATCTTAGTACCTGAATTCAATTTTGTTTTACATCATGACCTCTTTATTTATTTATTGTTATCCTATATTTGCGTTGATTTTGCTTTAAATTGTTTTTTCCAGAATGCAAAGTGCTATTAGTAGATTAGCAAACTATCTGAAACCAGGGGGTCAAATTTTGTTTAGAGATTACGGGAAATATGATATGGTAGAACTTCGTTTCAAGCCTGGTCGATGCCTGAGTGAACACTTTTATGTGAGAGGTGATGGCACTAGAGTTTTCTTTTTCTCCGAAGGTAGGCATTCTCTATTTTGAATTTATTCTTTACTAATTACTTTTCTATTCCTTACTTATTTCTAATTATCTTTCTTAATAATGTAATTTGATAATACATTACAATATTTGTCAATTTTTTTTTTAAAAAAATCAGTGCTTATTTTGGATAATTCACACTTTTTTAGCCTCTACTTTGGATTTCAATGAAACAGAGTCTACTGAATAAGTTTAAAGCATATTAAATGTTTCCCTGCTCAGTAAATAATACAAGTGATATTTTTTAAAGGTAATCTCAATTAAATGTAAGGTATGCTGTATCTAATTATGATTGGTTTTCGCACAAAGTTGCTCTCTACATAAGCATGTAAATTGGAATGAGTACTCAAATTGTGTTATGAAGCAACTAAATTTTAAAAAAAAAAAAATAATTTTATTACTTTTTAATTGTAATATAAAAAAAAGAGAGAGAGTATTAAAAAATTTTATGATTTCAGGAAAAAGTGTCGATACTTCCTAATTGCTCCCTGTTTCCTATTCTAAAACCTTCCTATTCCATTTGCATATCTATATATATATTTCTAACTGAAACTAGTAAGGCTCTAAGAAATAGTCTAAATCAGTTTGCAAGAACTATCTATTTTCTATCTTTTTCCCTGTTAGGTCAAATCAAAGCAAATGTTTTTTTTTAAATTTATTTGAACAGGGTTTCAGTGGGTCAGGGAGAACAGGAAAGACCTGGAATTTTCAGGGAATTTTATTTTAACTCCAAAAATCAGGGAATAGTCAGGAAAATTTGCAATTTTTTTACCAAAACCTGGAATATTTCTATACCATACCTGGAAAATAACCAGGCTTAAAATTATTAGTAGCAGTAATCAGTTATTGATATTCAAGTTAAATAATTCTAACATCTATTACAATTATTTGTTTTGAAAATTTCACATTTTAGTCAAACTGAAATGTTCCCTTCCTTATTTAATAATATTTGTTTTACACAGAAAATATAATAAATCACATTACAAATAAAAGAATCAAAGTATTTCTGATGAAAATATGGTCTCAATTTTCATTGAAATTTACCTGGTATGCCGCCTGTAAATGTCATGGAATTTTTTTTCTGAAATTGAGTGGGAACCCTGTTTGTTTGAAACTAATTTTGGACATTTGTGAGATTAAAACTTTCCAAGTCTATCAAATACTATATGCTCATTATTATTATTTTATCTCTTTTAGATGAAGTGGATAAATTGTTCACCACTGCAGGATTAGTTAAAACTCAGCTTTACAGTAGCAAAAGACTTCAAGTCAACAGAGGAAAACATCTAAAGATGTACAGAATATGGATTCAAGCCAAATATATGAAACCATTATGAATTATTTAGTTAAAATTAATATGTTGTTATCCAACCATTTATTTATCATTTTGTAAATATGTAAAATCTAAAATTTTAAGTATTGCTAAAATGTGAACATGAATAAAAATATCTAAATATTACATTTTAAAAATTGTTTGTTGTTTCAATTTTTCTGGGTCACCTTTGAGTCAGGGAAATTTAGAATTGTAATGAATTTTGATTTTGAGAAGAAAAAAAAGATTGTTAGGAATTATTGTAATTTTCAGTCAAAACAGAAAAATTCTTGCAATATGCCTGTAAAATAACAAATTTAAAAACTCATGGTAATAGTAAGTAGCTAATAAGGCTCAAAGTTTGTTTGAGATTTCTTTATAAATATAACCATAATTTTAGTTCCATATTATTATGTTTCTTTTTTTCAAATTAATTTTTCAGATAAATTAATTTTAGGTTTTTAATCCCAAGTAAGATCTATGATTACTGGCTATTTTTTTTAAAGAACTCGAATAATAAATAATGTTATATTAAGTTTTCAATTTTTTCTGGTTTTTATAGAAATATTGCTTATATATTTAATTAATACATTGGGTATACTAAAATATGAACAGTGAGCAAAAAAAAAAAAAATGGACCACTCTGAATAAATTTGATCTAGTGATCAGATTTTCACGTTCTAGGATTCAATCTTAATGGCTCAAGGGGGTGACTTCAAATATACCAATCAATAAGGGCTGACAATATTTTAAGTTACAAAATCAGACTCAAAAACGTACTTTCTTTGAGTAAACATACCTTTTTATTCAACGGATTTGGATTTCTGACCCCTAAAATCTAGGGGGTAGCTGCAATTTGGAAATTATAGTCCCAATATTTTAATTAGGAGAGTGCTCCAAAGTTTGAATCCATTAATGTTAATTTTATATTTTGCTTATTTCGTTATATCTCGAGAGCTTTTTAATGGAGTTAAATTTTTGCACACGATTTTAAAATTCATTTATCCAAAGATAATTCTATGCAAAAAGTAACCTTTATTAAATATTTATTATTTTTTTACTTTATTTAATAATGCTTGAAAAAATTTGAACTGTAAGGTATAAAATTTTTTGCATCATTTTAAAGAATATAATTTTGCATGGCCAAATACAAAATTTGGGCAAAATCGGTCGAATAGTTCCTCAGATATTGAATTTCAAAAAAGTCAGATGTTTGAAATTTGATTTCTCAGGAACTTTTCGACCGATTTTGCTCAAAATTTGTATTTTGTAATGTAAAATTATATTCTTTAAAACAGTGCAAAAATTGTATACCTTACAATTCAAAATTTTTTGACTGTTTAATAAAAAATAATAAATGTATACTACAATTTCTTTTTTATATGGAATCATTTTGGGAGAAACAAATTTTATAACTGTGTAATAAATTTTCAATTTGCTTAAAAAGTTGTCAAGATATCGCGAAATACGCAAAAAATTACGTTAACATATAGGGGTCCAAATTTTTCGCCCTTATCCTGACCAAACTATTGGGCTCCTATTTTCCAGAATGGAGCTAATCCCAATATTTTGGCGGTCAGAAATCCGAATTTGTCGGAAAAAAGATATGTTTACTCAGAGACAGTACGTTTTTGTGTCTGTTTTTGTAACTTAAACTATAGTCTGCACTGATTAATTAGTATATTTGAGTTCACCCCCTCGAACCATTAGGATTGAGTCCTAGAATGTGAAGATCCAATCATTAGATCAAAAGTTATTAAGGGTGGTCCATTTATATTTTTGCTCACTGTACGTTAAATCTTCACCTTCTGAAATTTTGATTTTATGATATTTGACATTTTCTGTGAAAAAGTGAATTTAATTGTTTACTGGGTAAAAAAATTATATTTATGGTGAAATATTTGCTGCTTATAGTAAAAAATTAATCTGGAATTTGATAAAATTTTCTTTGGAAACCAGCAAAAGTCAGAGAATTTCAGATATATACATACACATAGTGAATGTATGTATATAT